AATGCTTGGACTTGATGATCTTACATGTCTTTCCCAACCTAAGTAGATTCTATGATTCTATACTATTGCTGTCTACAACAACCTAATGGGGATACGAGAAGAGAGATCCAGGCTCTCCTTGCAGGCAGAGAGGCACAGAACACAGCTGACCCATAGTACGGTTAGCAACACCTGGATCCTTCCTGACTGAGACCACAAGCACAGTTGTAGCTCCCATGGTGAGCTAAGGAAAAGAGGTGGGAAAGGGGATAAGGCACTGCTTTTATCAGATCACTGACCTAGCTGGAAAAAGCGGGCAAGCTCTTCCTACAATTTGTCTAGTCTGTCCTTGACTGTGTTTGTGTTAAACATTATTTGGCCATTTGTATTTTGGTCATTCTTACATTAGGAGTCAACAAGCTTCTATAAAATGTGCAAAAAAAGCCACTGATAACTCAGTTTCACAAGTAAACTTTAGGGTCCCATGACTACGTTTCTGTTTATAGAAATAATAATGTGTTCATGTAAACTCAAAGTGATTAAAATCAGGCTGTGAAAACAATCAGATCCCCCTTTCATTAGCAGACTCTGCAGGAGAACAATACCGTTATTTGTCCTTTCTGAGAAGCGTGTAATACTTTGCAGCACTTAACAACATTACTTAGACCTTAGGAGCAGAGTCAGCTCTTCAGAAGGAATCAGGATGAGACACCACTCTTAAAAAGGTTTATATTTACATGAAGAGAAAAGCACGGAGGTCTGGAGACCTATGGCTCTTAACAACTTATAAGGATTCCCCATTTATTAAAATGAATGAAAAAGAGGTGAAACCAATACATTCCTGCTCCAGTAGAGTGTGAGCCTGGCACCAGTGTGGCAGTCAGAGCTCACACCAGTGTGTTAGACACTTGACAGTTTCCCCTAGAGAGGTCACCAAGGTGCACAGAGTCCTGTCTGGCATGACTACTGCTCAGGCAGGGCTGAGCAGCTCAGGACCTGCGCAGCTCAGGCTCTGCAAAGTCAGTTTCTTTGCTGTTCAGTCTGTCCAGCCTGGTCAAGATACACCAAGCATAAACCTATCAGTATGAGATGTGGAAACCTAACAAAGCTTCAGCTCACCTCTGCTGTGCTCTTAAGCATTCCATGGGTTCAACTGACTTTATGCATTGGCAGTGCCAGCGCGTGTCTGCCCAAAACCCACCTTGTAGACAAACTCGCAGCAGTTCAACGTAAGATATCTCATCTTCTTCAGTTCTCTCACCCTAGTTCTCCATCTGCCAAACTGGAAATGTAGTATGTCCCTATTTCACCTGGACATCACATTCAAGGTTAAGCAGCAAACGAGCATGCAGGTCCTCAAGTCAAACTGGCTGATATTTATAAGGTATTTAACAAATGAATGATACAGAAAAGCCACTTAAAACCAGACCAGATGCAAAAAGGGTTAAAAAGATTAAAAATATACTTTATCTGAAACATTCTTGTTGTTACTTCTTTTCTGATGAAACTTTGTCTTTAGCAAAGCTTTGTCTCTCTGTCAGTTCCACATATTTCTCTTCTTGGTGCTCCTTAACCCCATGGTAGTGACTTTTTGTCATGCTTTATAGTTTAATAAATAAATAAATAAATAAAATTCACCAGATGACTTCTAACAATGATTCATGTTATTGTTATTGCTCATTATTATCATTTGTCATATGAGACTGTGCCTGGTTGGGCATTTTTCCTCTTTTAAAAGAGAACTCTGGCTCAGCTCTGGAGGCTTCACATTCTGTTTATTATACTAGCTGAAACATGTTTATTACACTGTCATGTTTTTATATCCCTCCTGCTACTTTGTGCAAAGCATACTTTTGCTCTGACCCAACTGTGAAAATTCTGCAAGGTTTTGCCCTCCCTGATCTAGCCATTGATCTGCCGAGTTCAACAGCCTCACGTGATGGCAGCCGGTATCTGACCCAGCAGATTGCCCTGGGCTCTCAGTACCACACCTAATCCTGAGAGGCACTCCATGGGGAAGATATCCTCATTAATTCCAGTCCTAATTCATGAGACTTCCTGAGTTTCAAGCTCTATTCTTTTCCTAAAATATGTTAGAAATGGTTGTGTACTGCTTGTCTGCATGGTTGTTTCTGTAACAGCATTCAATTGAGAGGAGAAGCCGAAGCAGACATATGTAACAAGTAAAAATAACAGTGATAAAGCAATAATGATGACAACCCTGTTTTCATGTTGCAGCTGCAATGGATTGATGCAGAACCTTGGCCAGGGGGCTTTCCAGGCACTGAACTGAGCCTTTTGGACCCCTGAGCCATGCTGACTCCACAGCTTGATGGCAAGGAGTCTGCCAAGTGACTTTCTGAACGCAAATAGCAACCAAAGAAAGTCACCTTATGGGAACTCAGTCACCGTTGATATCTCCTTGATTGTGGAGCTTATCTGAAAGACCAAAAAGCTCTACCTTTTGGACCTGGCATTTGGAAATGTGAATGTTCCCTCCTGAATTCTGCCATTAGATCTAACGAATTACATTACTTCCCCTTTGGTAAACAATGGGGTGTTGCTAGAAATGCCCTAAAGATTTGTTGTGGCATGAAAACCTCCCAAACAGTTTGCTTGGTTTGCAGTGTTGTCAGTATTTATTGTGACTGTCACAGAACCAGAAAGTTTATACAGACATGGTCAGGATGCCGCTCTTGCAATAGAGTTACATACAACACTCTCCCTCTACTTTTGAATTTAAGAGATATTGCATCAGAACTGGCGCCAATGAGACAGGTTTTTCAAACTGTTCAAACACTGTTGGGAAACGAAGGGAACCAGTGACTGATATACCCGGGCTACTGCTTCTTGCTCCAGACACCCCGGCTGTGTTTGAACCCTGTAGGAGCAATGCTAAGGCTATAGTCCCACAACTCTCTTAAGTCAACATAAGCAAATGTTGATGCTTAAAGAGGCAGTGCCAACTCCCACTGACCTAATCACTGTTTTCACTCTCCTTGCTTTCCCAGTGACTGCAAATAGTCATATAAATACATACAGGAGAAAAAAAAGGGGGGAAAGAGGCTAGTTTTAAACCAGAGCACTGCCCTGTTCTAACTCACAATGTGGCTGCACGATTATGTGGCAGAAAGAAGGCAGAGAGATATACATGGCAGTAACCAGGCAGAGGACTGAAAGGTAAGGCCGGACTGCTTATTCCAGTTTAAACTGATTGTGGAGCTAGTGAGTAACCTACAGCAGCTGAAAAATGTTGAAAAAGGTAATGAGGAATGGAGGGAGGGCGTGCAAAAAGAGCGACACAGACTTCCCTGGTCCATTATGTCAGGATTAGGCAGATAAAATGAAATCAATTTTGCGATGCTGAGAAAATGACATTAGAAATGTTTAAGCTAGTCTAAACATAGCTAAAGCACCCTTTACTTACGAAGTAAGTGCTTCACATTATCTGTGAGGACATCCAAAATCAAGTACTGATAATTCTTAATGAAACATAACCTCATCAAGTTGCTCTTTTCAATCAAAACTGTTGTCTCCTTTTTTTTAAATGAAAATCACTTGCTTCATAAAAAGTTTTTATGTTTCAGAAAATTATATTGACAATAATATTTCTTAATAATGATTCTTATAACAGCATTACTTAAAACAATTAAATCAATTAGTTTGGTAAAATCCTTCAACTGAACTGCAATATTTTGGCACTGTGACTGACTGAGTTTACTGCTTTTCCAATTAATGAAAGACTGGTTTCTTTAGAAGTTACACTCTGCTGCTCTGCAGCAAGAATGTTTTCCATTACTCATCCCCCACTGGTATCAAAGGGCCTTTATTGCTGGCTTTTCATTCTCTCTTCATTTCTAAATTAACAGAGTTTATCACAATCTTTGCTTGGTAGAACTGTTGGAGAAAAATTGATTTTGAATTTTATCCATGTTAAAACTTTATCGACATCAGCAAGTCCAAGAAGTAATACTGCTAGACACTGAAGCTTCATACCAGCCATGACCACCTAATGGCTTTGGCTTAATTTTAAAAACTGTAGCTGTGACCGTTCAGGAACAAGTAAAAGCACCAAAAAGCGGGATAAAAAGGTGTTTATCATGAAATAACATAAAGAATCTTTGCATAGCCCAAGTAATCAAGCTCCTGTCAAGATGAGATAATTGTCAATCAAGTTCTCAATTCAAACACAGCTGCTAAAAATCAGACAGATGAAGCCAGACACCACTGCAGTTTGAAAACCTAACTCCAAAGTGAGTACAGAGTCTTGGCAGTAGCTGAGATGCTGTTGTAACTCTGTATAGTTGTAAAACTCAGAAAAGGAGTTCAAATCGAAGATTTTTGTCTTTCTGAAGCTGAAAAATAATATACTTACCATTCTGGTTAAAATGGTAGCTAATGAGAAAAAAAATCTATATTAGCTTAAAAAAAGAATAAATAAAAAAATGAAGTACTAAAGAAAAAGTGTTTTTCACTTCCAATAAGCCATTAGTATTTCTTTAAATTAAATCCTATCAGTAAAAGCATTTTTCTGGTTCAGCAGACTGAACAGCAGAGGCAAGTGTGAGCACACTGCAGTGAGCAGTGACCATTCCTGCAAAGGCTCATGCTTCTCCACTTTGATCATGCCTATTGAAAGTAACAGAAGTTACATATACAAGTACTTTTAAAAGAGCTGTATTAATATTTATATTTTGTCATCATTAGTTTCCATGTCTTTTTCTTTCATTTCTTTTCACTTTTTTTTTTTTCAAATGTTAAAAAATATTCAGCATCAGTTTTTTCACTTTAACTATGTGAATCTGCTAAGAACAGATTGAAGTAAAATCTGGAAATCAACAGTTCTCACAGGAAATTGGCATTTTACTTTTAGGTGCTGCACATTCATACACCACTATTGTTTCTTATACCGTTGTGTAATTCTACACAAATATTGATTAGTAATTTCGTAAATCTGAAAACCACAATTCCCAGGTGATGACCATGACCCTAGAAAAAGTCTAGAGAAAACAACCTCATTACGAGACGTACCTTGCAATAGATGTTTATTTAACTGGAAACCCGCAAGAGCAGCTGCCCAGTGCAACAGTACATATTTGCTTCTGAATCCTTTCTCAAAGGCACTATTTAAACATGTTGATGAACTGAGCTGAATTTCTCCCCACCTCCATTCCAGCAAAACAAGGAGACTCAGAAGATAAAGTTTGTTTTGCTATTGCAAGCAGTGCTATGTGGTAAGTGAGAAAATTACTTTCTATAGTCATACTTAAATATTAAAGTGGAAAATTTCCATATTCTTGTACAGATGCAAAGTCTGTGTGTAATATTCAGTGACATTTCTATTTGCAAATTAATATATTACTATTTCTAGAAGTGTTTGTGTGTAGAGCTCTTTCTTATCCATATTTGGCTTGATATGAAAGATCAGACTACTCTAGCTTCACCATGTTGGCAAGAGGGAAACAAGAATTACTGTATAGCTAATATCAGGCCAATTCAAGATATATGACTTGTTTCAGATCTGGTTCTGATTCACGTTGAACTGTGAACAACTGAAACGATTACAAGGGTTGTATTGCATGTGCAGCTGGACTAGCTATAGCTAAATTTTATGGAGCATCCTGAACTGCAACCGTGACAACAGAGATTTTTCAATTGCCCCTGGCTAAGTTCAGTGTTTTGACCTAGAGGGGAAAGTTTGTGTCTCCTGAGCCAGTCAGACTTCACACTTCCATTCTGGGCTGTGTTTTATCCTTTCTTCTGCCAGTGTCTGGATTGAAATCCCTTCAGCCTGTCAACACCGAACTTTAATTAGTCGAAGGAATTTCTCAAAGTGCTCCTTCTCACTTGGAGATGTTTCTGCAATCATTCTAGCTCAGAAAAAAAAGGAATTGGGAGTGACACAAGGCAGGTCATCAGTGGGCCATGGCTGAGGTGCTCTTCTCCTCCACCACTGACAAACAATGTCGGTTTTCAGAAAGGACATGATCCAATGTCTTGTCTACTCCTGCATGAAGTTGGTCATGTGTTTCTCTTGTATGGAGGAAGATCTGAACTAATTTAACTGTACTCTAAGTGCCACAAAACCAAACTTTCTCAGAGCAGAAAATAATGTTTTCCATAGTAAAATAGAAGCCAAAAAGCAGAAGATGAGTCATGCTTTTAAGATGTGTGAGTTCTGTGACACCTCTTTCTAACAAAACTGAAAATGTCCACCAGCCGCTTACTCTTTCATTTGCTTTTTGTTTTCACTTACATTGGTGTCTGTAGGCAATAAACCATAAAGTAGAAACATGGACTGAACCCTGAGCTAGTTATTCAGGACAAACCAACCCTAACTATTCTATGATTCTATAATTCTAAGACCTGATGTTAATCTAGACTACTACTACTTGTAAGACTCACCAGTGACAGCGATATATGACACATTTTTCAAGTCCTAAAAATGTGATAATTTCTTCCCTATTTCACAATGATTTTATGAAAATCAGCTAATGCTGACATCTGACCTCAATGTAATATTCTTAAACATTCTTAATGTATTTCTTAATAACATAATTTTTTTATTATTTTCTTCAAACTCTGAACTCTTTAGCTATCACATGGTGTATCATCTGACATTTAACACAAGGATGGGCCTTCCATGATTTGAAAGTGAAATTCAAAATATTGACAAGATGATGAATCTTCCCCTCCTTTGAACTTTGCACACTTGGATAACACTATGACATTTTAACAGTGAAACTTATCATACCATGGTTCTGAATTTTTACTTTCTGGTGTTGATATTTACACCAATAGACTAAAATAATGTCAAATTATGTACTAAGAGTGTATGTTGCATGACTTTTAAGATCTGGAATCTGTGGTTTACTGGTGGTTCATAAAATTTTGGTAAAGGTGTAACAAACAAGATCCTATTTCCAGATTTACATGATAGATTTTTGATCAGAAAATAAAAGTAACAGCAAGAAGTCTTAGCCACCAGTGAGTTTCACTAAGAAGAGCTAAATTTGTCACAAAACAAAAACCGTGAAAATGTACAGTTAACTTCAAAATGATCTATTGTGTCTCATATAAGTAGCACATATAATGAATGGTATCACCTTGGTTCAACTTTTTAAGCATGGACCAAGGTTTTACCCATTTCTTGTAGGTCTTGTAGTCCACACATTTGTCATCTCAAGGTTATATACTTTGAAAACATTCTGGTTGGTACTGTCTGTAGAGAAATGAAAGTGTCAACTATTTCAACATGTAGGCACTGACCTCCCAAGGGGTGGAGGCGGTTGTTCTTAACACATCACGCTGGTGGATCTTACTGTTATCTGCTGCTTTTTTCAAGATAGCTCAGCTACTACTTTCTAGTATCCACATATCTGAAAAACTCATATGTGCCTTATTATGAATGAAATTGACAGAGCTGCCATGCTTTACTGGTATTACATATGTATTCACATTTGGGGTCTGAAAAATGTTTTCCAGTAAAGACCCTTAAATGCAGAACTTAGAGCTCTCATTCCAGTTCTCTTTGCTCAATTTTTTTCCATACAAGTGAAGAAAAGAGATAGAAAGAGAAAGAAAGAATATGCTGACTTGCTGTTTTAGAAAGATTTCTTTGCCCATTGATGTATATGACTGAAGACAACTGGTATGGAAAATACGCATATAGGATCTTAATGGGAAAAATAAAAGATGTATTACTACTGCTTCGTGGTGATAATTCTTTTGAACTGGATAGGTTGGTACTCTAGTCATATTTTAGTCATAGGTGGGTGCCACAAGACATGCAGAATTCATTATGTTCTACTGTTTGTTTGTTTATGTTACTGGACACTGTTTTCTAAAATATTTAGTGTTGCTGCTTGTGACCCTAATCCTTCAGTGCTGGCTTGGGTTTGGAAAGAAGGCCTTACAGCAGAAGGCTGAAAGTGCATGATCTATTTCTCATCTTCTAGAGCGACAATACTTGACTTTTTTGAGCTTTAGATATGTCCTATATGGTGCTGCAGAAACTGAGCAACAGTTTAGGCAGTAATCCAAATACTGCAGCACTTAAAATTAGAGCCACCCCTCAAACACCTTCAAAACTATTTCAAAGTTATCTCTTTGACTCCATTTACCATGAAGGCCTTGATTTATGTTGTGTAAAACCCCACCTTCTATAGTTTATGCCAGAGCAGCATCTGAAACACATCACATCTCTCTCTTTTTTACTATAGGAGTAAATTCTCAAAAAATAGCCTTCCCTTCTCATTACCAGTTAATAATGTACATTTAGGATATGTTTGAGTTTCTCCATCCATCCATGTTCTTCTTGACTTTCGGGAAAGATGTGTTTGTTCAGCCACACTGTTCAGCCAATTTAGTAATGAGTATCCACTCTCACTAGCTGACATGAAGCACAGAAGAAACTGTTCCACTTAAAGGTTTAGTCTTCACAAGGACAACATGCAAGCACATCTGCAAGTTCCAGCATAATTTTCTGTAAATTGTGACTTTTTCACACAGGTCCTTAAACCCCCAAATTTTAGGTAAAAATGTATATATTTAGAAATTATTTTGTATCAGTTTTGTTCCAAAATATAATTGTCTAAGGGATTTTGCCAAATATAGTTATTTCCTACAAATGTTATTTTAGTTAAAAAGAAAAAAACAGCTCACAGAAGGAAAACATTTAATCAGGTCAACTGACAAATTTATACAAATGCATAATGCAAGAGTTACCCTGACATACACAGGGCAGCTCATAGAGAAAAATATTCTCAGAAAGTTACCTACTCTTTTTCAAAGTAATTGATTAGAAAAATAAATAGGTGCCAAAAAGATAAAAGTATTTAATTACTTCCAGCAACACACTCCCTTCTTATGTGTTATCCTGGGGAGTGACTCAAAGAATTGCTCAAGAAGAATGCACTGGAGTCTACAAATTAAATTTCTCATGCCATATAGTTAAATTGAATCATTGCATACAAGAACTAACAGTCTAAGGTTCTCCTTTACACAAAAGTGTCTTTATGCCACTCTGGCAGTAGAGAAGAGTTATAAGAGAAGTAATGCAATTAATTCCCGACTGTGTGCCCACTGGCACCGACTGGAACAGTGAAATAAAAACTAACTCTGTAATCTTTCTAAGGATGTTTCTAACTGAAAACTTCTATAATTTGCTTAGCCAAAATGACTAGTTACTCAAGAATAAAAATAAATCCAGATTTTTTACTTCATTTTTATAACAGAGGGCTTGAGAAACTGAGTAAAGCTGTGAAAAAAATACACTAGAAGAGTGCAAAGACTTGAGTTTGGTCTAGGAATAGCTTTCTTTGTCTTTTGGTTAAGTTGCAACAGGAAAACAAGTATTTTTGATAGAAATGCTGACATAACTTTACTAATAGCACCTCTAACAGAGATTGATATAATGTGTATTTACTCAGGTACATGATTAAATAAGAGATGTGAAGTCACCATAGCAACCCTTGCATCACATTGCAGATATGCTGCTTCTAAGATACGGCAAACATTTCATAGAATCACAGAATCACAGACTTGTCAGGGTTGAAAAGGACCTTAAGATCATCTATTTCTAAACCCAATGCATTGGGCAGGGACACCTCACACTAGACCATGTCACCCAAAGCTCTGTCCGACCTTGCCTTCAACACTGCCAGGGATGGAACATTTAACACGTCTTTGGGCAACCTGTTTCAGTGCCTCACCACCCTGACAGTAAAGAACTTCTTCCTTATATCCGATCTAAACTTCCCTTGTTTAAGTTTTAACCCATCATCCCTTGTCCTATTACTACAGTCTCTTACAAAGAGTCCCTCCCGAGCAACTCTATAGCCCCCCTTCAGACACTGGAAGGCTGCTATGAGGTCTCCACGCAGCCTTCTCTTCTCCAGGCTGAACAGCCCCAACTTTCTCAGCCTGTCTTCATACAGGAGGTGCTCCAGTCCCCTGATCATTCTCGTGGCCCTCCTCTGGACTTGTTCCAACAGCTCCATGTCCTTTTTATGCTGAGGACACCAGAACTGCACGCAATACTCCAAGTGAGGCCTCACAAGAGAAGAGGGGCAAGATATCCTCCTCGACCTGCTGATCACTCTCCTCTTGATGCAGCCCAGGATACAGTTGGCTTTCTGGGCTGCCTTTCTGTGCTGTGAGCACACACTGCCAGCTCATGTTCATTTTCTATCAACCAGCAACATCCAAGTCCTTCTCTGCAGGGCTGCTCTGA